TTCATTCATTCAACATATTCATACAATTGTCGCCGCGACATATTTTCATGCTGTCGCGTTTTCATAATCGTCAACGACACTCTGATTATCGACGACAGTATATAATAATATAAGTACATAAGCACACGCTTATATTTCTTGAATTCCTGTTTTCTCAACGATTCTTAACAATCGATAATCCATAACAGCTTCTTGTTCTATTTTTATAACGAATTTGATTAGTTTTTTCTTTCTTTCTTTCTTTCTTTTTTTTTTTAAAGTAAATTAAAATTTTAAAGTTCCAAAAATGCGGAGTGGATTTCAAACATAAAACTTTAGCTTCGAGTATTTATTACTTTCCGAGAATAATGAAAAACTTTCAACGCCATACATTCAAATTCTAATGTTAATGTAAATGTGACTAATGCAACCTTCTTCCCCGGAAATTCTGTCATTGAGTGTTCAATATGTTGAGTGATATCTATAAGATATATATATATATATGTATATCATATAAAAGCTTCAGTTGTTTTCGTGAAAAATTATAAATATTGCATTCTATATTTTTACATTCTAATTCAATCCAATATTATAAAATTCGATATTCTGTTCGAAAACGTGAAAATTTTTGAAATAAGAGCAGTTGCCATATCTGTACACATTTTTTTTTTCTATTCTTTTAACATCATACTTTATTTTTCAAGTCAAATGTGTTTAATCAGTTTCTTGAGAATGAATTGTAGATAGGATATCTTCTATGCAAATATTGAGACTGATGTAGCATCATCAGTTACTCAATCATGACTATTATAATAAAAATTGTATTAGTATTTTTTATTAATATCTCAGAAATCAATAAATACTCAAATTTCATCTACGATCGAGTGTTTTCTTGAAATTGATACACGGATATATTTTTATTTTTATTGTTTTTTTTTTATGTCATAGAAGATATTTAAATTTTTAATCTTACGAATATTTATAAAATATTCGTAAAATTTTAATAATTTTAATACAATTTCGAGCTGTACTTTTGAATGAAATTTCGAAACGTTAATGAAAATTTTCGACATCGATATTTCACCCAAAGCCATGCATACATAATGGAACATCGCACTAACAATTCATGTTAATATTTTCTCATACTTGAAACTTTCTCCTCTTTCCTCATTTCTTCTTTATGTGTTCATAAATATGACATTATAAGTGTTCCAAATTTTTATGTCTTCGTGTAACAACGTACATCTAATAACACTGAAATATAACAATCGTATTGAAAGCCTCCGACGCTTTGTTTAAGAATTTATCAGTCTGGTTGAATTCAATTATCTTCACGTTCCAACATTGTTGCATTATATTATATCGCGATTGTATAAATCAAATAGGACAGTTTTATTAACAGATTCATTAATAAATATTTTTTATTCGATATTGTTATTATTATTGATCATCGAGTACTTAAATATTTATTACTTATTGATTATCCAAGAATTTTACAGAAATATTTTTAACGCAATTATTATTTCATATTTAGAATTTGACACGTATTTTTGGAATATCTTATTATATTCGAAGAGAAATTTTCACAGTAATATTGTAAAAAACCTGTTTTTTCAATTTTAATTTATTTATAAAAATTTATTTCTTAATATGTACGTAATAATATATTATTATATTGTCAATTTCGAATCTAAATTCTATAGAATTTCTAATTTCTATCTAAATTTTATACATTTTTAACATACGTTCAGAGTTTCGATTGTAACATGCATATATTAATAAAACTTGAAAAGAAAATTTTATAAAAAGTGTTTACCAATTTAAAATTTTTTCCATTTTATAACGTAGAAATAAATTTTATATGAATGTAATTTATTACTAAATTGCATAAGTAAAAATAAAAATATTTTTATCACTTTTTATTATTATTATTAACAGTATTATTGTTAATACAAAGAAATATATATTAATGTTATTAAATCATAAATAATATATGTTTGCATATCAAAGATACGCTAATAGTAATTATATTCATGGAATATTTTTGAAAAATCGATTCTGGAGGCCAAAGTAAATACAAAAATTAATAATTGAAAGCGAGAAAGAAAATGAGACCTCTTTTTTATCATTCTTATTGCCTTCTGTCCCCTTTCTTCATCTAACTCAAACTTAAATTGTTTATAATAAATAATAATCTTAACCAATAACCATATGAATCCAAAAAATCATCCCATGAATACATTAATACTTTATATTTCTATTTTATATTCTTTATAATAGTATATTATAAATTATTTAAAAAATTCTGATAATTAAAAGAATAGCAATAAAAATAATAATGATATTTTAATAAGCATAATAAAATCTAGGTTTTAAAATCTAAACTGCTTTCCTGTGATCACTTTGTGCCCCCCTCTGAAATAGAAACATTCTACGAGAGTTTAATTACAGATATAGTACAGTGTACTCGTGTGCTTGTGTGCATTATAGTTTGAACTTCACACACTATGCAGGATTGAAACAAAATATTTTTTGCAAGAGAATTGGAAATTTGCTTAAAAAAAATGCGAAATATGTTATAGATATGCATATGTAAAATCGTAAATATTGTTATTTTCATTATTAAATAATATCGATGAAAATTCACAATACAAGCAAGCTCAAAATGAATGAGCATCAAATTATAAAAAGCAACTAAATGTAGGAAATAAAGATCGATAAAGTTTTCAATTGTTATTGTTATATCGTTATAATATTATTAATCGAGTAATTGGAGGATAACGAATGATTACAAATATTAGGAGCAGTGATATCGCTCACATGTTCAAATAATCGCGCGCTTTTGTTGAAAAATGTTACATCGACGCCTTCCACCGGCTGCGTTTCCGTTTTAGGGAATTTATCGCCGGAGTACAAAGAGATATTATTATCTTTGAGACTTTTTGAAATAAACGTAGATGTGATTTTGAAGAAAATTGTTTGCTATTTTGATTAAGTTTTTATATTTAAAATTTTTTGTTATAGGAATAGATGAAATTTTAAAAAAAAGAAATTGTGATAAAGTGATAAAAGTGAATGAAATTTTGAAGAAAAATATTCATAATTTTAATATTTACATGTGTTAAATTTAGTTCTAAGATATTTTTATAATAAAAATAATTGTGGTTTTGAGAAAGAATTGTTTATTAAATTTTCATTCAATTTTTAACGTAGTGTTAATTTAATTTAAAATAATTTTCTGTTTTAATATAACTGTAATTTCGAAATTTAATTTTATCTCTAACTAATTTCTCCAAAAATTATATTTTTGTATTATCTAATTCTAATCTATTGAAAAAATATCTTCGTCTAACTATAAAATAATAATTCGATATTTAAAAAAGTAAAAATATTTACAAAAATAGAAATCAATATATATTGAATTCTTTTTCTCAATATCTCTACACATTTAAAATCCTAATTACAATTAAAATTTTCATTCAAATTATTTTAATGAATTTTAATTTTAATTTCTAAAATCACATGAATTTTTCCCAATAAGAGAAGGAAAGAAAGAATATTTTAATGAATTCTGAAAAAATTATAAATATGAAAATATTTTGAAAAATTAATTTCTTGACCCATTATAAGTTCAAAACGATTACTTGGTGGGTAGAAACCGACTGGTATTTACGATCAATTCCTTGCAACACTGTAACTCAAGAAGGATAGCCATTCGAGCTCGTACTTTGAACTTTATAGCTGGAATTGTCGTAAAAGTTATGGTTTACATCGCTTCTAACGGTGTTTTGTATTTTAACTGTTGCAGGAGGTCGGGAGCATCATTGGGAAGAAAGGAGAGATTGTCAAAAGGTTCCGTGAAGAGGTAATTAATCTAAATCTATTTTATTTTCATTAGATTAGAAATAAATATTATTTCGAGATATCGATAAAGAAAATTTGTTATCTAATTAATAATCATTCAAATCGATATATTTATTGCGAAAATAGGCATTCATAAAATTAAAAACTCTTTTTTTTTTTACAACATTGTATTCAAAGATTTATTGCTCAATTATATTAATAAAATGTTTAATATTTATAATATTTTAATATTTATGATCAAAATTATCTTAATTATTGGCCAATCTATTTTCCAAAATAATTTTTTTTATATCTATATAAATTTTTATGTAATGTATATGTAAGAATCAATGCTCTTTTTCAAGATATGGAAAATATTCATTGAAAATATTATTCCATAAATCGATTCCATAAATTTTTGTTATAGTATTATGAAAAAATAGTGCTAATCAGAAATTAATAATAACTTCTAATTAAAAGTTCATATCATCTTTTTATTTTTAAATTAAAAATTTAATAAAAAATACTTCCAAATTATTAAAAAAATTTTCAATTCGTCACTAATACAACAATATTAATAACTGATGGAATACTCAAATCAATAATCACGATATCTGGCGTATAATTAGTGAATAATAATACGGTGCTGCCATCTGATATATGCGCAATTATTTTTTGAAATGTTGAATTGTTTTTTTATCTTATTTTGACTGTCATAATGTATATACATGAATTAATAATAAATATATATATATATATATATCTTTTTGTATAGTAACCTAACAGATAATTAATTATTATTATCTATATATTATTCATCATAATTATTCAATGAGAAGAGAAATATATGGTTTTACTTAAAAAGTATATAATTCTCTTATTTTTGTATATTTTAAATATCTATTTTTCATCCGTTTAAAATATTATATATTATATTTAATAAGGATGATCAAGGATGATAAATAAAATATGATCTTATTATAAAAAGCAAATGGCGCTTATTCTGAAGATTAGGTTGCATATACTCGTTGTATGAATTTTTTATACAATAAATAAACATCACGCATAAACTGGGCGACAAACAACTTATGACTCAGCTTAATATTTATGATCTGAACACGTTTTGGACGATATTCAAGATCTATTAGACTTCTCCTTGCGTGTTGATTAATACGCTAACACGTTGATTTGGAATATAATAAATGTTTGACGATGATACACATGCCATACGTATAGAAGTTACATATAATTAGATTTCTATGAATTATTTTTTTTTAATTTATTAATTTTTCATATCAATATTTAAAACATTATTATATATGTAGAAATTATACATGATTTAAAAATTTCTGTGAATTTTTTTTTTTATATATATATAAAATTAAAAACAGAATTGCGGAAATAGTTTTTTTTTTTTTTAACAAAAATTCCAAGAATTGTAATAGATATCAAGTTAGCTTCAAGAAATATATTTATAGAATGAAGTTGTTAGCAGATTGACATTTTGTATACTGTTACGTCATTTTGCAATGCTAAATCTAAATCGTGATAGGTGAGTTCAATGGATGTGTATTAAATGAACACGTGTATGATACATTTATGAAAGTTCAAGCCTGAAAATATTCGTATATTCAAATTTGGCTTGCCAATGAATTGTGGAACACATTTCTCATTGTTTCTATACTTGATCTAAACTAATGACATATTAGAACATCGTGCAATTTGTACTGTTGTGAAATATTTTATTTTTATAATAACGTATCGTAATAAAGTAATAATAATAATAAATTATTTCTACAAATAAATATTCGAAGCATACTCAACTTCTTTATATATAATATTTTTTAATTTTTATTTTTTTTTTATTTTCAATTTTTCAGTTTTGTGTACACTGTGTATCGTATTACATTCAATATTAGTAACACGATATTGTTGACTGAGCTGAGTAAAAAAGCATTTAATGGCGGAACTTACGTCAGCAAATTTAAAATAAAAAATAATGTAAAGTATAATAATATATAATAGTATCTTTTTAAAATTATAATGGTAAAATTATAATGATATTTAATTCAAAGAATTTTAATTCATTCGAAAAATCATTTTTAATTTTAACTTTACTTTTCTATCTATCTAATTTTACTTTATATTATTAAATTTAATAAACATCTAGTGCAATGAAAAATAAATAAATAAATAAATAAATATTGTATTGTAGATTATTGAATCTATTACTTTAATTAATATTATATATTAATATAAATTAATAACTTTGAAATAATTGAACAAAATATTTTATTTAGAATTATTTAATTTTTATATGTAAAATCATGATTAATAGGTTGTGCAGAGAACTTTAATGATTTTAGAAGAATTCAAAGATTTGATTATTGGGAATTAGTGAAAAAAAAAAAAATTCAAAACTGTGATTTTCTAAAGAAAATTTTTATTTTTAGAAAATTTAATTTCTGAAGATTTTTGAAAATTAACGAAAAAACTTTTATTCCAATCTTCGAGAATTATTGAAAATTGATCTTATTAATTATTCTTAACTTATAAATATTAAAAAATGAATGATATCGCAGCGTATAATATCCTACGCATAGATAGAAAGTGCAAATTCCTTTCGTGATCGATAAATCTTGAATAATCTACATTGAGTGACCAAACATCTAAAGTCTATGAATCACCAAACTCATTCCACCGATAAGTTCAACGGAAACATTTATCATCGGTCACTTTCTGTTTCGAAGTTCGCAGGATATCTGACTTTTAGTTATCTGGAAACTAAGGCCATCCTTTCTACTCCGGTTTTGATATATGCATCCAAAAACTGCACACCGGGCAAGTTTGCTTCAATGGCAATTAGTTCTTGTCGGAAATTCGACGGCTCGATTTGTTACACGTTGCAGGAAGAAACTCTTACCGAAATTTCGTTTCTTTACCGTATCTATTATTGTCGTGCGTAATTTAAGCATTCTTGTTAATTTGTTTAAATGTTATTTATTTATTTCAACGATAAACTCTTTTTCTTTTTAGCGTAATATTTTATTTTTATTCTCTTATTTAAAAATATGCTCGCGTTTAAAAAAAGAAATTTACACTGTTATCCAAAATATACGTATATTTTTCATAAATATGTTGAATTAAAATAAATTAGAAGCAATAATGGAATTCAAATAATAGCTTTTGCGTTTTATTATTAAAATATGAAAAGATCTAATTATAAGCTCTTTTGATTGTGCACATTGTATTCAAAATTAGTTGTCATTTTTTAAATTTATTTTTTTTATATAGCGCCGCAGAAAAAAATTTTATATGAAATATATCATTTAATAATTTAATTCGATTTAAATGATAATTTTCGTGATCAATTTTGAAAATTTTTTATGATTCGAATAATATAACAATTTTCTTTAGTTTTCTTTAGTATTTGTACAATTTTTAGACAATTCAAGATAAAAGAAGATCAAATAATTTACCATTTACATATTGAGATCAAAAAATCTCCAAATAAATGAGAGCCACCATTTTGATTTTCAAAATCAAAAAATTATATAAGTATATCTTTTCGATATACTCTCATGTTACAAAAAATATACTAAAACATGCCTCTTTAATACCTCTAGATTATTGTGTATCAAATTTTTCAAAATTTTTTTTATGTTTGTATCTATCTCTTAGTAAAAAAAAAAACTTAAGATTTTGCAATGTATGAGATACAGTACACAAAGTTTAATTGAGCGTGGCACACCGTGATGAAACGTGTTAAGGATCGGTTCTCACACTTCACTGATGTCATTTACATCGTTTATTGGCCATAAAATTTTTAAAAATTCAATAAAGGTGTTCGATTGTACATTGTACGAGGTATCACCGTCCCAGAAAGGAATCTCTAAAATTATACGATTAAAAATATATAATGGATATTACACTCCATTAAAATTTATCTAAAATTATATATATATATATATTTTTTTTTATATAAATTAAAGTTTATATCAGATACACGTAATAATTAATTATCAAGGAAAATACACAAACTGTGATTTTAGTTCATAAAAATTTATATTTCAAAGTAATTTGAATAGTTTCTTTATTTTTTCTTTTTATAATAATAAAATTTACCTTATGCTTAATTGATTTTTAATTGTTTGAAATATTAAAAAATATTAGTTTCTTTGTTTAATCTTTTGATTGTAAATTCCTTTTATAAATATCTTTTTTTTTTTTTTACGAGCAGAGTATAATAGTAAAAGTAATTCAAGCATGTCTAATTTGCTAACCAACAGAACGAATTGATCAGGTGGTACAACGTTAGGGTGGTATAACAAAGGGATTTTAAAATAGCTTCCAACGACCTACATTCAAAGGTTGTTGTATATTCGCTTAAAGAGCTTTTGTTATACGATAAATAAAAAAATATTTATTTATCGTTTCATTTTAATAAAGAAGAAAAAAATCGAAAGACAAAAACATAAAGAAGATATTAAGTAATAAAAATCAAATATATAATTGTTGTAAATATATAATTCGCGTAGTCCAACGGCTAAATGACTTTTGGCTTCTATCAATTTAGCGACGATTACGAGAATTAAATAAAAATTTTTAGATAATATTTGAATTTGACTTAAACAATTGAATTGCTTTTGACGTAATCAAATTGGCAATTTAAACAAACAATCACGAAAATTAAATATATTTAAATAGATTTAAATGATTGGATTGCTTTGATCCAATCGGCTTAATAAAGCTGATAAAAATTAATTAATAAATTTGTATTGGTATTTTTATTATGGATTTTCTGGATCATTTTCATCTTCGTACTCCATACTTTGAAAACTAAAAACAATGTAAAAACATTTTTAAAAGTTTGTTTATTTTGTTCTATCAATATATGAATAATTTTTGATCCAACCACTGATATTCTATTTTCGAAAATTAAAATTCTACGAAATCACTTATAAAATATTCTAAAATGTGTAAAAATTACTTCAAATTTAAATTATTCTTTCGTTCTCCGTAGATGTATAGAATAACGTTTAGAATTTAAACAGAATAATAGAATTTAATTTAATCGATCATTTCCAGTTCGCATTCTGGAAAAGATCCACGTGTTTCATTCAGCTTCTTCACAGATAGCGTGATACATTTCGAACAATGACACAGTATTCAATAATTTAATTCAACATCCATTGTCCTCGTAATCAACTAAAAACGTTGAGAGAAGAAAAAGAGAACCTCTCTGTCAATTATTGAAAAATATGATGACAAACTTGGTCGTCGCAATTGTTATCATTCGGCATAATGACGTTGTATTGGTATGGCTAAATGATAAATAATGTATCCGCTCAGTGGAAAAAGCGAGCAGAGTAGTTTGAAATTACATATACATATATGAATTTATTTTACTTTGTGATTCGAATTCGATGTTAATAAACGGATGAGATTAAATTGAAGAATTTAGACGATAAGTCGAAATATGATTTTATAAATGAAATTAGCTACATTAATTATACTGATTGTGCCTTTTAACACTATGACGATAATGTCAATAAATAATAAAATATATTTTATAAAAATATACGGAGCAATAATCAATATTTCAGAAATAGATAAATAAAAATAATATATATCTTAAATGCTAAACGCTAATAGTTCGTGTCACGTGGCGCTAGTAGTATGTTCTAAGTAGTTACTCTACCTTTTAATAACACTATAACTTTCACTGATTAACACAAACTGTATTTTCATCGTGTTTGTAGAAACGTATAAATAAGTTAAATATTTAAGTGAAAAGGGAGAGATTACAAATGTTTCAGAAATGCATATAAATAGATAAAAATAATAAATATAATAAATAAATATATATATATTAAATCCAGTATTGTAGTTTCAGTTAATATTATAAATTAATATTCGATACGATTCCAAAGTATTCAATTATAAATATCGAAATTTTTAAATATTTGGTATCAATTATCGATACCAATTCCTTTTCATTTTTTAATATTTTTAACGAATCGATACATATTTGATAACTTGACAAAAATATCGATTGATATCTTTGATATTTTTTCCTTTTTGAATATCTCACAAGTCAGGCTTTCAGCAGAATATCTATCACGAATAAACTAAATTACATATTTACAATATATATATATATATGTGTGTGTGTGTGTGTGTGTGATAAGTGATTTATATATGTATATATATATGTATGTAATTCTTAATCTACCGATATATAAATTTGATATCGATATTTTATGAGAATATCAAACAAGTATTATGGTTTATGGTTTCATATCAAATTCAAATTCATTGATATTTTTGATATTAAAGAATATCAAAGATTTCGATTATTTTTATTTTTCAATATTCAAATATAACTTAGTGTTTTCCCTATTAATAGAAATTTTTCTTGCAAATGAAAAAATGAAAAACCTTAAATAATAATGTAAACAAAAAAAAGTTTACTGTATTCCATATTTTTATGCAAATTTAAATTTTTATAAACTACTAGATTTGTTTTACTCTTAAAATATCATATATATTGCATAATATATCTACATTTTCTATAAATACCACAATGTATTTATTATTAAGCAAAGCAAAGATTATATTTTACAAGAAGGAACAGAATAAGCTCCAAATTAAAAAAATGAATTTAAAATTGATTCTATTTGATTATTCAAAAACATGATATCTTAAATTACTCGGTCAACGCTACTTTACGAAAATATTATCTCATATTCGATACCTTTTATCTTACAATTTTAACAATCTGCACACCATTTTCAATATTTTAATTTAACATACGATCTCCAATACGCGCAACATGTTGAAATAAATCCTCACCTCACCGAAATGCTAAATTCCATTATTTTGTCCGCAGTCTGGCGCGAAGATCAACATCTCGGACGGCTCGTGCCCGGAACGAATAGTGACGGTGACCGGGCCGACGAACTCGATCTTCAAAGCGTTCACCCTGATCTGCAAAAAGTTCGAGGAATGGTGTTCCCAGTTCCACGACATCCAGGGGAGCGGCGGCGTGCCCAGGCCGCCCATCACCCTCAGGCTGATCGTGCCCGCGTCCCAGTGCGGCTCCCTGATCGGCAAGGGTGGGTCCAAGATCAAGGAGATCCGCGAGGTGACCGGCGCCTCGATCCAGGTCGCCTCCGACATGCTGCCTAATTCGACGGAGCGTGCGGTCACCATATCGGGCACCAGCGAGGCCATCACGCAGTGCATATATCACATCTGCTGTGTTATGCTAGAGGTGCGTAAATAGGTGTTCCCGGGTTCACGAGTTCAAGCCAAGTCAGGGTCGTTGACTTTATTTTTCGTTGGTTGAATCTTTGGGATCGTCGAGTGATTTATTGAACGGTGTCTTCGAAAGTTTTCCTCGTTGCTTGTCCGCGAGTATTTTTTTTTTTTTTTTTAAGTTATGTGATACGTTTCTTGTTGTTAAATCAAATTTGGAAGTATTAAAAAATGAAATTGTTATTACGTTCTTTTGTTGACTATTAGAAAATGTTTTTTTGTAAATGGAAAAGTTAAAATTTGGAAATCTTCTTCGATTAATACAATAGCATATTTATCTTTTCTTGTGTTTCCAGTATTTTTGAAAAAAATGAGGGTAATTTTTTAAAAGGAATGTCATATTATTTTTTTTTTTTTTTATATATTATACGAAAGCATTGTTAGGACGATTTCATTTATTACACAATGATTTTCAAAATTCTAAAAAATTAAAAATGAATATCTTGTAAATATGCTTGCAAGTGTTTCTTTTTGATGACTTGTTTTCATCATCGTTCACTGTCACGACATTTATTTTTTAATATTTAATTTGTACATTTGAATATTCATTTTTGTATTTACATTTCTATACTTGCATTTTTTCTTTTATCAAAGAGCTATAAATTTTTGTAAAATAGGAAAAATAGAAGTAAACAGTGTAATAATAATTAATAATAATAAAAAATAAATCATCGAGAGTATTAAATAAAGAAAAAAAATCATTGTTTAGCATACAGATGAAATCATATTATCATATGCTTTCGTATGGCGTATAAAAATATTCCATTTAAAAAATTCAAAATCATCTTTATTTCTTCAAAAATATTGCAAATACAAAAAATATAATATCATTATAATAATTGAATGAGATTGTAAAACTTTTTCATTTGTCTTTTTTTTTATATTTATTATTTACAAAAAAAGCTAACTAATAATAATAATAATAGCATTTTAACATATGATTTCAGAAATGCACAATCAAAAGTTTATTTTCCATTGATATTAGAAAATTCAATTGAATAAAAAAAATAAAAAAAAACAAAATTATAACTTTGAAAAAAAAAATATAAAAAACGTGAAATAGAAAAAGAAGTGGAACTTTTAAGACAGTTTAATAAATGCACTTGATATGATAAATATCTTAATAATATATACAGGATGAATGTATATACAGAATTTCTAACAAGAGATTAGATAATTTAATAATTAAATTCTAATTTACATTGAAAAAGCATGAACAGCTTTCTCTAAGCTAAAACCGGAAATGATGAGGTAACTAAGGTGGCAAAGATTATCCTTTCTTGACCCTAATTGGTAGAAATTCGTGAACTCTGCTACAGTTTATATCCTTGGCGATGTCACCCTGCTGAATTATATAGATTGTTATTGATAAGGCAAGTTAACTTGATGTTATCCTTAAAAAGGAATACGATATAATAAATTCTATTTCAATTTTAAATGTATAATTGAGGAATTTTATGAGAAAAAGATTTGTAAAATGAAAAGTTAATTTAATATATTGTATCTAAAATTTTAATGCAGAATGAATAAAATAATAATTACAATGAAAAAATTCTATGAGACATATATATAGTATTCGTTAATAACTTGTCTAAGAAAAAATTTATAAATTTCGTAAAATTCCTCAAGTAGATTTAAAATGTTGATCACAGAAATAATAAGTTAACTTGACTTTCTCTTTTATCGAATTAAACTGGATTCTACGAGTTTTCATATTTAATTCTTATGACTTATAAAAGTTGATATTCGATAAAATATCATAAAAAGATAGCAGTATAAAATTAATAAGAAAAAATAATCATGTTATTAATAATTGATTGATACGTATAATATTTAAGTAATATTATTTTATTTTTAAATATGTAATTTTTTGTTAGATAAAATAATTATCCAGCAAATGTCATAAATATTATATTTACATCATGTGCAAAAACTCGTAGTCTCATACGTCAATATAACAAAAAATTATATTATATAAATAAATCTCCTTATGAGAATTTTTATTAATTTTAAAACTTCAAAATATTTATTTCATTTTTCTCGGTAGATTTAAGTTATTGGTAAGTCATATTTATTGTTGATATTGTTTGAAGATCGTATGCACAAAAGCTTCTTTTTTTTTTTTAAAAAGGTAATCTTATAGTATATTCTATCTTCAAATATTATGAACAAAATGTGAAAGTTTCAAAAATCATATAAAAAAAGTATATAATATTTGGATATGAGATTTTAACTTGTCAATGTTATATTTAATTAAATAATAATTTTCTGAATTTTAGTTTTATTTAATACTTTAGTATAATTTTATTATATTTTTAGTTATATAATGATAATAATTTTTACACAATGATATCATAAAATGAAATTAACTATTCAAATATTATGTCTTTTATAAACATTTAATTGATGGGGATTAAAATAACATTATAATTGTATAAAGAGTTTATTATTATTAAAAATCACAATGAAAATGCGATGTTCAAAATCGTAATGAATATATATGAGAAAATATTTCATGCATACTACTCTTCAACTCGCATCTGAAACAATATTTAAATTATCTATAGATATACTCTGCTCCAAATATTTTCCCATCAGTTAAATATCAACCAAATGTAGGATGATTCATGAATTCTTGTCTGGTTTACGCTCAAAATTCATACAATCTTTGAATTATATTGAAATTTTACAACAAAATTAAATGACTTATAAAGTATAACATGTTGCAACTTTGCCCTAATACGTAACGTAATCATATTAATTAAACGCAATCAGGCAAGAACTTATCATTATTTAATCATCGAGCAGGGTGACATTTCCACGTAGATTCCACGTAATTAGACAGCGGATATTTATGCTGTATAGAGATTTTATTCATCCTTAAATTATTAGAGGTGTGCATAATAACCGTGTGATTATAAAGTTCAAATTTTAGGATAGAAAATTGAAAAAAATTTCGATTTTGAAAACTGACTCGAGACATGAGGATGAATGGCAATCTCATTTCGGATCGATTCGGAAGCATTCGGATATGTTCGGTATCCTTCGATATTCTCGAACCGACCCGAAGTTTTACGAATCGAATTCGAAATCCCAAGCAATGTTTAAACATAAATATATCGTATAATATTATTCGAATTTTCCTAATTTATCTGAATTTCATAATCCCGCGTTATCGCACACCTCTATTAAATATATTTCGTTCTTTTATATAGAAAATTGGTCTGGAAATTGGTGACATAACGAGAAGAAAACAAAAGTTCTAAATGCAAAAATAAATCTGGAAAAAAATATGGAATAACATTTTCGACAAATCAAATTCGAAAATTCACGTTACGTTATATATTCGTTACATTATTTGTTTTATTATTTTGCTTCCTATATTCGTCATTTTATTTTTTCTTCGCTTTAAATATTACTACATTCCAACAAAAATTGCTTGAAATTTTGTATACGTTTAAAAAAACTTGGTTCGCAGTATACTTTTGCACCTAGAATCATCTTTTCTCCAATTATATCACCAATTACCACCAGACACGCCCTGTATATCTTATACGCCTCCCCCGATTCGATTCAATCTCGATTCAAAATACGCGTAAACATCCGCGCTTAACTACTCCTCCTCAGCCTGAGTCGAGTAATGGGCCCGGACCGGTGTATTCGCACTCGTGCGTGTCTTGTTTTCTGTTTCAGTCCCCTCCCAAAGGTGCCACGATCCCTTATCGCCCCAAACCCCAAGTTGGTGGGCCAGTGATCCTGGCTGGTGGGCAAGCCTACACCATCCAGGGTAATTACGCGGTGCCCGCCCACTCGGACGTAAGTACAGTATTGCCATTGCCCGCGCCCGCTGCCGGGCCCACCCCGCCCTCGCTGAACACCCAAACTTTGACGACTTCGCCCTTCGCGGCCCACCCCTCATCCTCGGCCTTCGCCGCTTCTCACGGGCATCCGCTCCTATCCACGGCCCACCTTACAACACCCCATCATCCCCTCCACCCGAGCCCCTTACACGCCAGCGTGGCAGGCCTCGCCGACCCCCTGCTGAAGAGTGGACACTTGCAGGCAGCCCTCCCGCCCGCACACCTCGTGGCAGACGCCGTAAGTCTTTTGTTTTTCGTGATCCACCCCTCCTCCCGTTACAACAGAACCCCCCCCACCCACCCACCCACACCACCCCCAAGCCAAGAGATACCACCACCAGACCCTTTTTCAATGATAAATATAAAAGAAAATGAAAAAGAAAAATACCGGTACACACACGTATTCGTTCGAATTGGTATACACGTACACACGTATATATATTTTATTACACGTACACGTTGTACGCGAGCGGACCCGTTATATTCCAATTATATACGTTTGTATATGGTTATACATCCTTTTTGTATACCTGTATTTTCTCCCTGTAATCCCCCTAATTCTCGGTCTCTTCAATACCGACGGATATTTGAAGATTTTTTTTAAATCGCTCTTTTTTTATATATATATATATCGCCCGTGTTTCTGAGTATTATCTTGAATCCGTTTTCGGGTTAAATAACACGGCAACGGTCGGTTATAATTGGTGGAAATGTTTCGTGAAGCGTTGTTGGATGTTGGAGAGAGGGAGCTGGCGCGTTTTATGGGCCGTGGTGAAGAGAAGTGGGAGTCGTAGACTTGTTCTAAGTTAAAATTTTCTCAGCATTTGTAGCATCGTTTTTAGATCAAGACGAAATTTTTATCCTGAGAATTTAATTCTGGATCGTTGATAGGAATTTAGGATTTTTTTCTAGCTAGGTAAGGGGATTGATTGAACTTAATATGTTTTGTTTTGAAAAACAAAAATTGCTAGATAGGATGTTTTAATTTAAGAAAGAAATGAGCAGAATAGTTTTTGTTCATTTTTTGTGATTAGGAGCGGATTTCCAGTAAACGAATATATTATTTTTCTTATTTTTAATAAGTAATTATAAAATGAGATTAAATCCTTTTTTTTTTGTACATATAAGCATTATGAGAAAAATTGTTTTTGAGCTTTTTTAAATTTGATATTCTTCTTTTATTTAGATATTTTTGCATACGACAATAAATAATTTTGTCATAATTTTTTTCGAAAGGAAACATTCGAAGTTTTTCAACTTATGAGTCCTTTCCCCAGTTTTAGGTTTTGTGTTAAAAACGAAATGAAATATCATATTTATTTAAGGAATTTTTCCATTATCTTATCATAATTTGAAATAGAAAAAAAAAATACGAATTATTTTGGATATACAAATATTACAATTTAAACATTAAAAGTTGTTAAATCGATTAAGTATAACTCATAAAAGGAAAGATATTTTTAAGCAATGATATTTCAGTGATATTGATACAAGATTTCTTTTAATAATTCGAAAATCATAATTATTTTTAAAGTTGCGATCAAAACGAAACGGTCATTAACGATAATTATTCATTCTTTCAATACAATCGAATATTAAAAAAAAAATAAATAAATAAATTTATATTATCGATAGAATTAAAATTACGTTCTTTTTGATTTTATTTAATATCGATAAAATTTATTTCAACGAAATTCTTATCAACAAAATCATCATTCCAATAAGTTTTCTTAATATAAATGCTTAAAGCGACTGAATGAAAACATAAAGTATGAAAACTTTCGAAAAAGCAAATTATATACAAATAAAATTTCAATATTCTTTTATCAAAATTCATTTCCTTAACGAAGAAGGAATTCTTATCAGATCCATATTTCTTATTATCACACTGTTTATCAAAAAAGAATCTCTTAAATAAGTCACAAATTCTTTCCTTATTTTTTTTTAAAATTAATTTTCTATATAAAGAAAGAATTCTTATCACATTGTTTCACATTCCTTATTGTCTCAATATAAATTATATCATATAACGTCATTTAATGATTTCCCATATCAAAATTAATTTTCTAAAAAATTCTTATCACATGTTACGTATATCGTTTATTATTATATCGCTACCATAATAAGATTTTTAATAATTTCGAAACGAAGGAAGAATTTTTATTATTACACTTTTATTATTAAAAAATTACTAAATTACAAAATACAATTAATAACTTCGAAATTTTTTAAACAAATAAAAAAATTCTTATCACATTAATTTCTTTTACTCTTGCTCCAGAAAACTTAATTATATTAAAATTATTAAAAACGAAAGAAAAATTCTTGCTATTATAAATAAACCAGTACCAGTTCAAACTTTTTTTTTTTTCTTTTGCTCAAATACGAGCCAGCTCCACGTACAATGCTTCATGGACGACGACGACGACGAGAAACAGCCAACTCGGAAACAGTCAATAGTGCGCGGTTCGCTCGGTTACCATCCAAGCATTCGATATCCAATTTTCACCAAATGCCGTAGAATGTTTGCCCACGTGTACCGGAATGCTCCACTGTTGTATAGGCCACCTGGTCCCCATCCTGGAAAAGCCCACAACTCCACATACTCCAATCCACACGCATCGCCACCCTGAACACACCTTGGCTTTCTGCTCGACGTTCCCCGTTGTGCAGCTTCGAATCAATTCTCCTCCGAAATTCAAGCTTATCTTCTTCCCTCGATCGAACTCCGGAACGAAAGATGCGATATAAAATACAATTACAATTATAGAAATTATAAAATGTGAAATTGGGGAATAATAATTTCGAATCCTTTCTTATTTTTTTTTTTTTTTCCTTTTTCACTTCGATCGTTAATTTTAACGAAGCTCGCAAATAATTTTTTCTTTAGTAGTTTATAATCTTGTTTAAAGCAATTAAAAGTATGATTTTCATTAATTTTATTATTCTTAAATTAGTAAATATGATTTGTTATAGAACGAGTGATACAAACATGATGATGATTCTACGAGCAAAAACACGTTGAAAGTGAAAAATAATATTTTATCGTTTTGAGGTGGAATTTTTCGAGAGAATCAAACTTGAAAACTTATCAAATATAAGTTCTTGAGTAAATAAGGATGGTATATCCGCGCAAGGGATGATTCTACGAGTAAAAATAAATCGAAAATATAAAATAAATTCGTTTTATCAAAGTAAACGTAAATTTTATTTTAACAGAAAGGACAAATTGTCAAATAAAAATAATGATTATTTTTTTACTTGAAATTGAAATTCGTTATAATTACTCGTATTCAAAGATACTAGACTCTTCGGGGATCGGGTCTAACACGAAAGTTAATTTCAGAAACGTCGTGTTTGAGCTTTATTTATTAAGTTGTAAGCAATTAAAAGTTCGCATCAGATGAGAAGGAAAAAGAGTTGGATCGCTCTGTCTTCGTCGCGCTGCCTCTATTTTCGTTCCATATTATCTAATGCAAACTTAAATTATTTATAACTATAAATAAATAAGTCTCGACTGACATTTTTATGTCTGTTTTCACTTCTAGAGAATTGATTCTTCTGAACATTCTGTCACGAATATATCAACACCTTTATATTTATTTATTTATTTATTTATTTATTTATTTATTTGTTACTGGATCGATTGTTCTTTGATATATTGATTAATGTTTTTAATAGAGACGTAAATTTTTCTTCATTTGATAATTATAATTTTTCGCGCGATAAACTAAAATAAAAATAAATTGAACGGCGAAATTCAATATCACGAAACTATTCGAAACATAATGGTTTACTCGCCATAATGAGTTATTGTATTCAGTTGATTTTATTGCCAGCGTACAATGTTACGTTATGAACGTATATACGTGTAAAATCGTATAAATATGTAACTTGTTCATTGTTCTAAGATTTTATTTATTTTACGGCGTTAATTTATTTTTTCGCCATTATTCATTATATCGCGTAAAAAAATTATTAAATAAATGAAATTAACAAATAAATGTTTCAATATATTAAAGCACAATTAAACATTAATACGAATCATTGTAACTTTTTTATTATTATTATTAAAAATTAAAAGAATTTTGGAAAAATTGTTGAAAAAATAAAATTACTCGATTAATTCTAATTCAGCTCTTGAAAATCTTCAACGGTTTCAAACTCGTTCGAAAAATTTCTAAATTCATACTTTCTTATAATTTTTCCACCAAACTTTTTATCAAAGAATCTCGTGTAATAAAATTGAAAAATAAGATTATAATTTTAAAGAATTCGCTCTTTTGAAGAGGAATGACAGAAATCTCGTAAAAAATAATATACGCATGCTATTTCTTTGTTCTGGAGTAGATGGAAGAATATAATTCGAACATAATTGAAAAATGTTGATAAAAAAGTTAGTGAAAGAAAGTCGAAGCTGCACTTCACGCCACTATGTTTCTCCCAATCGCGTGACTTCACGAGGAACCGTCTCTCTAATTTCCACTTCTCTTATCTATCAAAATCTTTTTCTTCAAATATTCTTTTTATCGATCGATCGAAAATCTGTCACAAATAAAAGAATGTGAATCCATTTAAGAATATATTCTCACGAATCACTTTCGACAATATTTTTTTATTTCACGAGTGTATGTCGCGTTAAGAACGTTAACTTTCACTCCACACACAACGAATAATAAATAAAGATACCTCTTTAGAGCGATTCTTGAAAATTTTTAACTACGGATATATTTAAGTATAGAACTCTTAATTATTTTCGATAGTAATTTTTGTCATTAGTTGCTCATTGAGATTGATTGTCATTGAACTCTCAATGCATATGTTCGCTAAAATATTCTCGACAGTTTTACTCTCACCGAGTATTCTTAGAGTGCAAATTGACAATTGAGAGTGAAACTCTCAAGAATCGCATTGGAGAATATATTTTAACAAGTGGACATTGCGTTGAGAATGAAAATCGGTATTGGACTATCAATATATACACTCACTCGAGAAAAATATTTGCGAAAGCAATTCTCGAGAATTTTATTTTTAAATGTATTCGCATCCTTAATTTTTTCTTCACACATTAATACAAGTATCGTTGATGGAATGAATATGCTGATCGTACGAATATTTTCGAATATGAAACGAGAATCTATTCAAGATTGTGAAACAAATGCAGAACAGAAGTTGGTATAAAAAAAGTTTGTTAGATGAAGTAAAATGGCAATAGAACGAGACATCTCTATCGCTTTA